GGATTTTAATAACACCTCCCTCCACTTTCAGAGGTGTCCCAGCTTAGAAGATGAATTATTGTGAAAATGAATAAAAAGAAACCTTGTTTAAAATGGTGTTGGAAAAAGGTGCCTGGGTGGCTCAGTTGGTGAACCATCTGCCTTTGGCTCAGGTCCTGATCTCAGGGTCCTGGGATCCAGCCCCAAGTCAGGCTCCCTGCTCAGTGGGGAGCCTGCTTCTCCCTGTCCCTCTGCCCTTCATCCCTGCTTGTGCTCACTCTCTCTCATGCTCTATCTCTCTGAAATAAATAAACTAACAATTAATCTTTAAAATAAAATGGTGTTGGGAGACCAAAGCGGGGAGCTCTCACACCCTACCACTTCTCAGGGATTGCAGACCCCATAGGAAGAGACCTAGGTTCTCAAGCTACTTTACCTACGTTGCTACCCAGTGCAAGGAAGAAAGGTGCTTCTCTAGCAACAGCCCAGCCAGTGAGAGACAGTCACAACTCAGCCGCTGAGGAGCCCCTATACTTGGAATTCCCTGTTCAGTCCAATGGACTTTGTGTTTATAACAGCCCTCCCCAGCGCCTCCCACCTTCCTCTATAAAAGAGCAGTCCTCGCTCTGTTCTCCTGACTTGGCTGTGGTTTGCTTTAGTTTGCTTTTCTCAAATTGTAATTCTCTACGATTCTCAAATAAACCCATTTCTGCAGTTTCATTCTTAAGCTTAACATGACATAATCATCCGAAATAAGTGTCCTTAAGTAGGTGATGGAACGATCAGAGTCAAGAGACAGTAAGGAAATAAATAACATATGAAGATTCAAACTGCAATTTTTAGGAAGTTCACAGGGCAGGGCTGGTGAGGAAGGCCTGGAAAGGGAAGTCTATGAGAAAGAGGAGAATGTTCCCAACAAATTGTGTGAGCTTCTAGTTCTAGAAACTGGAGCAGAGGTGGGAACTTGGTCACACAAAAGAACGGAAGAGGGCCGGGTGTGATGACCCAAGGAGAGCTCTGGGAGACTGTGAACTTGGGCACTGGATATAGAGTGAGCTGAGGTCCAGCAGTCAGGAAAACGGAACAATATGCAGGAGCTCTGTGACCAGGGCCGGCCCCGGAGCCTGCCGCAGATGCTGCGGAGCTAGGGATGACAGGGAAACTAACTGTAAATCATGAGGAAATAGCTAACAGGGTGGCAGCAAAAGTATGTTCCTCCTGCTTCGCTTTAGCCAGAGCCATTGCAAATGGAATACTGAAGAAGCAGCCAGAAGAGGAGGGGGAGCTGGGGAAGGGAATGGGAGGGAGAGGAGGAGGAGGGAAGGACAAGAAAGTGCCTTCGGGGAAGGAGAGGGAGAAGCATGGGTAAATGAAAAAAAAAAAAAGTAATTCCTTTTAACACACTCGTTTTAAATGTAGAGCTGTAGAGGGGAGGAAGAGCTCTGAAAGGAAGTTACTTAAACTCTAAGATTTCAGTTGTCTCGTTTGTAAATATAAGACCCTAGTGCCCACCTTAGAGAACAGCACATACAAAGATTAAATGACAGAATACACGTAGACATCTTAGCAACTTAGGTCTTTGCAATGCATTCAAAATAAATGAATAAAAATGGGGAGCCTCTTCAATTATTTAGAGAGAGAATGATTATGAGGAACTGCTCTCAAGATTCCCAGAGATGTCTCCCACTGGCGTGCAGTATCCCCTGATTCCAGTGGATGTAGAGTGCTGGTTTCCAGGGCGCCTGGTTTCTGTGGGGGGACTGATGCTCACCTGGCTTTTGCAGCAGACCTTCCTGTCCTTGCCTTTTTTCCTGGGATAAAGCCACTGTATAAAGTGCCTCATCTTCTACCCACGGTATTCTTCAGAGGAGACTATCCCTTCTGTTACAGGACTAGGGGTTCTTGCTCACACGATTTTCTGCTAACCCCCTGGTCTGGGCAAGGATTGCTCTTCCCTCTGCCTTAGGAGGCTCGTAAACCTGCATCTTCTCAATGCCACCCTCATTTGTGTCTCCTGGGGTCCCCTCTCTCATCAACTGGCATGGAAATCAAGACCTTTACTCTTCCTTGGAGCCTGAAATACAGAGATCTGGGCTCCTTCTGACCAGGCTGCTCCCTCTAGTGTCCACCTGGGGGTACAACACTTGAGAGGCTGCCTGAGAAGCTGCCAAGTTCACACCAGGCACCTGCCAAGGCTAATTCAGTGGGACCACTTTGATCCCTCAGTCAGCAGCACACGGTTCTTTAAGGCTGCCCTGGACATTGATCAAGCCAACCCTTTGGCCCTTGAACAAGTTTTTAAATTCATCTCCAGTGTTATTTTTCTACAGTGAAAATGACCTAGAGTAGATAGAGCCTTGGTGAGCATCTTCCTTCCAGAACTTCTCTCCCCTCTATTCTCTACTGCTAGAATACTGCTTTGCCCAGGCTGGATTCCTTGGGACTAAGGTTTCCAGACAAAATTCAGAAGTCCCAGCTAAATTTGAATTTCAGGAAAACAACAATTTAAAAAATAAGTATGCACCATATGATATTTGATCACTTAAATAAAATAAGTCCCAAATATTGCATGGAATATAATTATACTAAAACTAATGCTATGAGAAATCCAAGTTTAACTGAGCATCTTGTATTTTGATCTGCCAAATCTCATAAACCATACTTAGGGCACAAATTCCACTCTATTCCCTTGGATCATTCCTGACCATTGCCAGATACATTGTCAGGCCCTCAGCCCACCATGGTGTTAGACTTCCGGCCACGCGGCTTGTCAGGAAAGAGTGGCAGAGTTTGCAGCAAGCCCCAGGTGAAGTGCATCTACAGGGATCCCACCCTGATGGATCTGCCCCAACTTAGTGGCCAAGTGAGCCTTCCGAGCATCTTCCAGTGGCTTCTTGGTAAGTCACTCTCTGAGTGAGCCACCAAGTCACTCTTGCTTCCTTTTCAGAGTCAGCCTACAGGTTTTTACCAGGTATTTTGGGGGCCTTTTAATGGGCTATTTGGGAGGGAGGGACTCACTACTAGCTGGGCTGTGGTTGAAGTAGAAGATGCCTGGGTGGCTCAGTCCAAATGTCTTTGGATCTTTACTGCCCACCCCCTGCCCCCACCACTTCATGATTCCATCTCCTTTCCATCTCTCCACCAAAATTTCTATTGGCTTCTCAATACTTTGTTTTCTTTTAAGAGCATATATTTCACAGAAGAACTTTCATTTTCTAATAGAACAGATTCCAGTTGAAAAGTCTAACTGATCTACTATTAAACGTATCTCCATGCAGTTAGGTTAATATGGGATAAGCCATTGTGCCTTGTAGCCAGACTAGCATATTTTTTTATGTCAGGTGCATTGAAATAAAATTTATATACAATAAGTTTCCTTTTTCGGGTGTATAGTCCTACACATTTAGCTAACATACATAGAAGTGTAAACACTATCATAATCAAGCTAAAAGAGCTACGCATCTAATTCTCAGCATGTTGAACTTTTTCTCTTTTTATCTATAATTAATCTGGAACTCCATCATGTCACTAAAACCTACTTCTCAGGAAAAGATTCCTACAGTCACTTGCATCCTTGTGCACTTTCCAGGGAAAGCAGTAATGTATTTTCAAAAAGAAAATAGGCAGCGTTTAAGCATATGAACTAATCAATACTAAGTACTTGATGAGCTATAATTATACCAAGTCCAGCTTTGTCTCTGGCAAAACTGAAAAACAAAACATCTATCATTATATTGGCTTTGTAAATGTTCTGGATGAATCCACCCCTCAATCACTTACATAGAATGAAACAGAATGAACATATACACAAAAACTTACAATGCTCTGCAGAATCAGGGCAGACTACCTGCTACAAACTTACAAGAGGAACATTTAACAACAGAGACATCCTTGTGATTTTATTTCCATTTTTTGATTTTCAAAAAGGACTGGCAATTATTTAAGGGACACCTTAACCAAAATAATTCAATATCTTTTCATGTTAAAAAACTGTCAGCCGATTAGGTCCAGATGGAATGCACCTTCACAAATTAAAGACTGCATAAAGCAGGCCCAGAGTGAACACCATACCCAATGGTGAAAAGCTGAAAGCTTTTCCTCTAAGAAAAGGAGATCACCAATTTTAAGAACAGCGGGCCAATGATTTAAACTATGTTTTATCTGTAAAATTGGTGTACTATTCATACATAACTTTGGGGTTATTAGAATTAAGTAAGTTGTCATGACATGCTGGTAACATTACCTGATACATGTGAAGCCTCACAGAAGTGTTACCTCTTAGCTTTATATTAACTGTCGAAGGTAGATGCCCACTGTGACAATGTTTAAATTCTTTGACAGGTAAACAACTATAAGCAACATTTTCTTGAAAATGATATAATAGCAGAATTTAAGGAAAATAGCTTAATGAAAAATACCTTGGCAAAATCAGATTCCAGGCTCACGTGACACCCAAAATATACATTTACAAAGCGATTGAATAACAAATGGCACAGCTCCATTCTCATAATTGATATAAGAAATATCCCAGAAGTCAGGAGTGACTTTTTTGCCTATTACATGGGAAGACTCCCTCTTTAGGGAAAAGATGTCAAGGTAGCTGGTGATAAGTGATTATGTGAAGATGATACTATGATGGGAGGATACTACCCTTGACCACCTCAATCCACCAATTATTTCAAGTGTGGAAAAATCACATCAGGGAGAGAACAGAAAACCTGACATCAAATTTCAGTTAAGAACGTGCTTATTTAAATTCTAGAATATGAATCTAATTTCCTTCTGCAATAAGTAATCATATATGATATACATTGAATTCTTTTTAGGAATTAACTTTACCGATTAATTAGGAAAGCCACAAGAGTTAAAGTGTCTTCACACAAAAGGACTTTGTCCTGAGAGTATGTTAAATTTTAGACTCTGCACAAATTAAGTCTCTGGCACATTTAGATATTTCTCCCTATTCTTTACTTTTACTAAAAAATATTTAGAACATATTTCTCAAAGGTTCATATCAATTGGATCAATATTGTCATTGAGAACATTTTGTTCTACCGTATAAAAGAGAAAATAAAATTTAAATGGGTAGTATAAATTACCTAATAGTTAGCATTAAATTAATAAGCTATATCCCTAATGAATAAAAAAATGAAAAATATACCTTCCCTGAATCAGGACCTTCACTGAATTAGGGATTTTTAGGGATAAGATACCTAAGAAAAGATTTATACCAACCTTTTTTTAATACAAAAAACAGTTTTTCCAACAAAATTCATGACACCAGTTCCAAGTCTCCATTCCTCCTTGAGGAGGAAACCCGTCTGACTTGAACTTAGTAAGCCTAGTTCTTCCGGTGTGGTCTCAAAGTCAGCAATAAAGGGACTGGGGTCCAATTTCGTTTCATTTTCTGTAGAAACTGGTGTAAGCCACACCGATTTCCTAAAAAACAAAAACAAAAAACAAAAACACAGAGGAGCAGATATTGTTGGTATACATGGTACCTGGTCTCTCTGAGTCTATACTTGGGTCTAAGTTATTTTTACCACTGTACCACTGTGGCTCTTTTGAGTACAGTGATTTAGGGATGTGGCACAGTGCCTACACCCTCTGGATAGCAGGGGATTTGAAATGCTTGCTTTAGTAAAGTACCCAAGTGCCCAGTAAAATGGATTCAGACAAGTGAATCCTAAGAACAGTAAGTAAAAGCTGTCAAAAGTTTAATCCAATGTACTGGTGGTAAAGGGTGTGTGTGTGTGTGTGTGTGTGTGTGTGTGTGTGTACAGCAGTAAAACATATGCACCGGTAACTTCATTGTATATATTTGCTGGCCTACTTTTCATTTTTTTCTAAGGAAGATGAGCTGCAAACAACATAGAAATCACTATCAAAGCAGAAATGCCAGGGGGAGTAAGTCAGAGGCGGAGATGAACCATGAGAGACAATGGACTCTGAAAAACAAACTGAGGGTTCTAGAGGGGAGGGGGGTGTGGGGATGGGTTAGCCTGGTGATGGGTATTAAAGAGGGCACATTCTGCGTGGAGCACTGGGTGTTATGCACAAACAATGAATCATGGAACACATCAAAAACTAATGATGTAATGTATGGTGATTAACATAACAATAAAAAATTATTGAAAAAAACTAATGATGTAATATATGGTGATTAACACAACAATAAAAAATTTTAAAAAAGAGTATCAAGAGTATTTAACAATATGAGTGTACATAATGGCACTGAACTTTACACCTAAAAATGGTTAAAATGATAAATTTCATCTTACATGTATTTTACCACAATAAAAAAAAAATACCAGGGGTGCCTGGGTGGCTCAGTCTTTTGAGCATCTGACTCTTGACTTCAGCTCAGGTCTTGATCTCAGGGTCATGAGTTCAAGCCCGGCACTGGGCTCCACACTGGACATGGAGTCTACTTAAAAAAAAAAAAAAAAATTCTCCCCTGCAAAAATACTACACGTTTGCTCTGAGCTGTACCTTCTTTTTTTTATGTCAACTATTTCCATATACGAAACAAGGATAACATTTTTTCCAAGATTTGTAACTAATAACACTCAATGAAAATATTACAGTGACAAGATTTATAACTCATAACACTGAATGTAAATATTAAAGTGTTTCAGGATACATCATTCCACTTGGTCTCAAAGTTCATGTGGGGTCCCTTTAGGATTCAATGTCTCAGTTCCACAAAACTGCAAGCAAAGTGCATTTAATGCTTAGGTTGATAACCCTTTCCTTTCATGCATTTCCATGAGTTAGTATTAAAATGAAGAACTCATGTTCTCTTTTTAATCATTTACTCTATTAACATGGAATTAAACTGTAAGATGTATTAGAGTATTATGAAGGAGGAGACATTGAAAACTAGTATCAGGCTTGATTCTTCCACTTATTAAGGTGACTCAGTATCTAATGATTCTGCTTTGTAATTCAGTTGCTGCAAAATGACCTAGTTACATTAGATTGTATGTTTTGATTCTAAAATGAATATTACATTTAAAAATAAAAGTATTCAGTATTTTTAGAAATGCTAATTTCGTGTTTGGATGTATGCTTATGAGTGAATCAAGTCTAAAGTTCATGTTTCCCCAGAAGCATCTTTAAGTAAAGGTGAAGCAGATACATTCCAAAGAAGTCTGGTCTATTGGACTCACCTAGAGGCAGAACATTCCAAAGGGATCTTCTGATGGTCACAATGTAGATTCCTAGGGTTAAAGTACATCTCTGTTTGAAAAAGGAGAGTATCCTCTGAAACAACCTAGGGGAGAAGAAAGTTTAAATAGAAGGTACTTCTAATAATAGGGGAGGCATACACACATTTCCGTAGGAAGTAGAAAACATTTAAGATCTCAAAGTTGACTACTGTCACTTTTATGTATATACGAAGTTCTGACAATCCACTGGGACAGAACAGGAGTATTATCTGTAAGAGCGTATAAATACCTCTTGTGCCTGGAAAAAAATCTCAGTAGTACATAGGAGCAAACCTAAACTGCCAATGAGAGCCATGTTTATGATTCATTAATGGAAGATTTTTTTTTATTATGTTATGCTAGTCACCATACAGTACATCATCAGTTTGATGTAGTATTCCACGATTCATTGCTTGCATATAACACCAGTGCTCCATGCAGTATGTGCCCTCCTTAGTACCCATCACTGGGCTAACCCATCCCGCCTTCTAGAGCTTCATTCCTTTTCCTCATTTCTAATAAAGCCAACACCTTATTTGTGGGTGACTATTACAATTAGTCATTGGCCCAAAATGTCTTTGTTGTATGAATATAACTTTTAAATATAGGACTCCATGAAAAGAGAATATCCCAGGATAATAATACAGTTGAAGATTTATGCCCAGAAGAATAAGGAACAGATTTTATCCCAGTGAAAATCTACTTGCTTATATGGACACACATCCCTAGTGCACAGGCAGCTCAAATGATCCAATGAATAAGATATATGCCTTTCCAGGAACTGTGACCTTTCCCACTAGGAGTATCAAATGGAACTTAAAATTGTCTGCTAAGCTTTGGTGAAATACAAGCGTAGCCTAAGGACAACTTAAAATCGGTTTCCTAACCAGTCTGGAAATGTGTGTTCTCCGGTCCTGTGCACACAGACGGCCCAATGTCCAGTGAATGATAAGTAAAGGAACTGTGTCGTTGTCTACCCATAAGTTATGATAACTAGAAGCAAAATTTGTTCTTTAAAACAAAACAAAAAAGACAATTTTATTGCCAGGTATAAAGGTCTAAAAAACTATTTAGAAGTCATTTTGATAAATAATCACTATTCTCACCTTTATCCTGATCCCACAGTCATGTACAGGGTATATGAAATCATATGCATATGTTTGTATCCGAGTCACGGGGCAACCCGATCCCAGATGTAATTCATCAGCAAATATATACAGATTGCTGCTGTACCCACACGGGCTAACCGAGATCATCACCCAGTCCACAGAACAACTTACTTTCACTGCAGAAAGAATCATAGGAGAAAGCATCAGACACGTATTTATCTCAGGGAAGAATTCAAAGAATATTCAGCTATGCCCTTTGTGATTAAATAAAAAGTATTCCGTTCTCCGACAAAGATAATCAAGGCTTTACAAACAGCACGTATAAGGTGTTCACATCACCACTAGTTTCCAAAATATCTTCATCATTATATCCTCAAATAACTAGACTTCAATTATTTCACAGGGAAGAAAATCGACACATAAGAATAAGAAAATCACAATCTTCTAGCCCCCTGCCTCCTCTTAAAGAAACTAGACCCCAAAGAGGGTGATGTATCTAGGGCTACACATAAGCGACGGAAGTAAATTGCAATGCATTCGAATAAGAGCGATATATCCCCAGGAATGCTTTTTGGAGAGAAGGAAAAAGAGTGGAAGAGTACGACCCATATCTGCAGCAACCGGAACCAGAGATGATCAGAGCCATAGAGGGAAGAATCTGAAGAGAGAAAATCCACTCAAGTTCTGTGAAAATTTTCTGTAAAACCTATTCTTACCCTCTACATTGAAATCTTCAGTTAGGAATCATTACTATTTCTAATGGATTAATGTATCCTGTAGAAGTAAAAATGTGCTGGATTCTGACCAAGTGCGCCAGACGGACATTAACCAGAGTTTCTTAGGGGATGATCAAAGTTAAGGAGAAAGAAATACCCATCACGGGGCTCACCCATCCCCCCGCCCCCCTCCCCTCTAAAACCCTCAGCTTGTTTCCCCGAAGTCTGGGAAACTATTGTTCAGAAAGAAAATACAGATTTATTAGCTTTAGTGTTTAAAGAGGCATGATTCGTAGTTGGGGAAAAAAACTAATAAGATTACAAAACTTCCAAATTAGAGAACAAAACAGAATGAAGGAGAAAAACAAATTTCAAACAATTTAGGAGAAGGTGAAAAAGCAGGAGGGGAAAGAGACAAAACAACAAAGCAAACAAGGACAAAAAGCAACAAGATGGTTGCAATAAATGAATTGCAAATATATGTCAACAATAAAAATAAATGTAAATGAACAAAAATACTTCAGGCCTAATGACCAACAGCCGAAGGAAGGAACAAATTATAATGTATTTATATAATCAACTTCTATATAACATGGAAAATATATTATACATATAAAGTGATCTGAAAACAACCAAGAAGCGAGTCAAAGACAAGACAAACCTTATATATATCTACCGATACAAAGTTCCAGGGAGAGATAAGCATTTTTTAAAAAGATTTTTTCCAGAGACTATTCTTAGATAGCTAGAACCTGCCCTACAGTTACTAAGGCATGAGAATCAAAACCCAATATATGACTCTACATTTCAACCAATACAGCCTCCTCATGTTCTGCAAAAGTGAAAGTCATTGGGTTTAAATCTTATCTTCCTATTTTGACATTAATAGAAGTAACTCAAACACAACCTGTCATCCAACCTAGGATAAATGTATTAAACATGGATTTCATTTCTTAGTTATCTTTATTTCATAGCTGCAGGGGCACCTGGGTGACTCAGTTGGTTAAGCGTCTCCCTTCAGCTCAGGTCGTGATCCCAGGGTCCTGGGATCGAGTCCCATGGCGGGCTCTTTGCTCCATGGCGAGTCTGCTTCTCCCTCTGCCCCTCCTCCCACTTGTTCTCTCAATCTCTCTCTCTCTCTCTCTAAGAAATAAATAAAATCTTTTTAAAATTATATATTCACAGATGCACAGAACCCAGTAAGTGTTGAATATATATAATTTGAATTGTAGTCCTTGTTGATAGTACCACATGCATGCAGCAGTTCCCCTTTGCCAAGTGAAAGTCTGACTGGCCATCCAACCTTTAGGATGGCAGTCTTCTCACAGCTGGCTGGACAGGGCTTGAATTCTGTAGATACCCAATTATTAGATTTTTTAAAAATGGGTTAAAAAACTGCAATGCAATTTATTCATGAATCAGTGAAGGCCACCGAAACTGGAGACTCACAGTCGGGTTGAACATTAAGTTCTGGCAATTTGACTTGACTGTGCTCAGAGCCTCAGATCACTATGTGGAACTGGGCCAAACAGGTTCAAGTGAACATGCACCCAAGGTGCCAATTCTAGCCAGTTACGGGAAAGTTAAGCTGCAATGGTTTGAGATGACATTTAAGATGAATTTCCTATACTCTCAAAGGTCTCCTAGTTACTGTATGTGTTCCAAATATAGCCACAACCAAAGCACTTACATGTCAATTCTCTCCTTGGAGTCTAACAAAACCTGGAAGTAAATAAAGCAGTATCCATAAATAAGTAATTCAGTCACTGCTGAAGTCTGATCAGTGCCTCCTATCCCCCACCAGCACGTCTTTAAAGACAGAAGGGGAAAAAAAGTGGGGGGCGCAAAGCAACAGAAGTACATTCAGTAGTGCTCAGGTATGATGATGATTGATTAGCCATTGTCTCCTGCAGAAAGGACATAAAGTGATGAGTAAATTGGTCAGGGGCTCCAAGTTGAAAGCCTTGCTTAAAGGCTGCCTTTGGAAGACATATGTGAACAGATCTGTGGTCAGAAAAATTATCAGGAAGCAAGATTTCCTTCCTAAAGCAATTAGGATAATTTGTCATGGATGTTTTCCATTATTCATGCCGATCTCAATAATACACCACATGCCAAACATTATAACTGGAGTTTGCATATCATCTAAAAATTAAATTTCCTGTGCCATTAAGCACAAACCATACACGTGACTGATTTTGACCATCTTCTCTTCACAGATTTACTTAGTAAACTGCCCCTCTGTGGTAGCTGTAGAAATACTAGGAGCTGGAGGAGGATTTTCCCACGGCAAAGCTCAGTAGATTATCTCCCAGTAGATGAATCTTGCATCAGTTTAGGAATTGACAGCAGGTAGTTGCCCTCAATATTTTGTATCTCCTACTTCTCACAAATAAGTCTAACATGACTCTGAGCAAAGCCAGAGGGACTAATTGTCTATTATCTTCTTTCCTATAGGAGTGGCGCTCACTTATACATCCATTACAAATTAATCATAGAAAGTCAGGAACACACAATGAAAAGAGTAGCTAGAGGTTCAAACCTTGACTAGGAAAGCTCCCAAAACAGTAACAGAACCAGGAGATCTTGGCATTCAGGATATTCTTAAATGCTTTGGAGGATCGAAATCTTCCCAGCGTGAAAATATATTCATATGTCACAAGCGAGAGATTCCAACTACTTAAGCCTGTAAGTTTTTGTTCTTTACAAATAAATCATCAAGAGAGTAAGAAAATTCAGGGAGAGGTTTTGGGGGGAAAGTGGCATTGGAGAAGGTAGGTGTTTTACCTCAGTGATAGTAAGCTCCAAATTGCTCCATGTGTTTGAAATATTATCCTAGCATCACCTAGATAAGATTCTCAGGAAGATCCTTCCCAAAGGAAAAAAAGAGAGTTTAAAGATAGTCAAAAGGTAAGTGGACATGGACCTACAGGAAGTCTGGGTTTCTGGTTTCATTTTTTTCATACTACATTAGAGTCATTTCAGTCTGACATTATGAGGCCATGTCTCAAGAAGTTGAGAAATTATTTGAGGGAAAGCCTGAGGAGCACCTGTAGCTGCTACACAAATTGGCTGAAGTAGAATCTTCCTTGGACCCCAGCATCGTGGATCACAGCCAGGCATCAATGCCCTCCTACCCTGACCCCAGATGGCCCTGACACCCTGCGCCCCCCAACCCCAAATGGTCCCAATGCCCTTGAGTCCCCCACCACAGATGGTCCCAGTACCCTGGGCCCCCCACCCCAGATGACCTCAGTATATTGACTCGACTCTTCTTGACCCAAAAGTATTTCTCTTCTACCTAATTGTAAGATCCAATCTCTTCCAGAGGAGAGTCCCTGCATGGAAAGTGATCATAACCCTTCCAAGGAAGTGTTCTCCAGAACTGGCCATTTACCATAGATGCTCTCGGTGCAAGGCCAAATCAAGGCAGCAAGGAGCGTCCAGACCCCTAAAGCCACAGAGACCTTCATCTGAGCAGACCCCCAGCCAGCACTCCTCAGGAAACAGGAAGTGGGGCCGGCCGTAAGTGAATTTATATGGCATCCCACTCTCAGCTGCCTTCATTTTCCTACTGATTTAGAGAGCCCATGGGGCGTTCGCGCAGTGTCAGCCACCTAAAATCTGCAGCTCTCCGGATTCCCCAAACGCTGAATCTCCAAGAAACATATCAGGCAAAGAGTGCTGTTTGATGAGGGTGCCTGCATGAGGCCGGTTGAGATGGCCTGGGAGGCTGGCATGGCCCACAACACTGCCAATAAATGCTCAGTTGTAGGAACCTGTTTCCACTAGGTGATTTTTTTTTCAGGTGTCCTTCTAATAAGCAGAACAGGCTAAATCAAATACATGTGAAATCCAAAGACGTTTATTTATTCATTTCTTTGGGTTTGGCTGAAGAATAGCAGCAGAGATAACTAAAGGGACTTGACCAGAAACAAAAAACCCCAGGAGGAGACAGGGACCTAAAGAAAACCGTCTCTCTTGGCATCAAGTAAATCCACAAATCCATCTTTGCTGATTCTTCCATAAATTAATGTTTTAGTTACTTTAATGAGGTCAAGCCTTAAAAGTATTTGCTTATAACACAAGAGAACAATAATTTTTTCATGCTGGGAAGATTCCTCAGAAGAGAAACATATATATATCATCATATATTTTGTCCCCTTGTGTTTATATGTATATGCATATGTATATATAATTATTCATGCGTAATAGATATTTTCAATCCAGTACTCAGAATAAAAGTTCCAGCTAAGCATTTTTATTGCATTTTCTAAAAATGTCAGTTGTGACAAGAATGTGATGGTGTAATTTTAAAGCGAACTTGGAAATCAAGGTTCACAGTAAAAAAAATTCCAAGCATCTGAATTGAAGGCCTATTATTGGTTTTCATGACAACTAAATTATATTCTCAATGTTACAATCTGCTGTCATATAAGTACATGAACAGGGCTTCCTTATATGTCATGAAAAGGACTTTTGTTCCCAACATCCCATTCTCTCAGGGACAAGGAGATCCCTTAAGTCGTGACCCGCATGGTGTTCGGTCTGCATCTGGAAAGCTGGAGAACCCAGCCACCAGCTACAAAAAGGAAAAGAGTTGAAGAAAGACAAAGACAAGTCCACATGTTATTTTTTTTTTTTTGTCTTTCATTTTCTTTTTTAACCTTTTCATGATGTTAACATTTCTATGATCTAAAATCCATAAGCGGGGCATTTGGGTGGCTCAGTCGTTAAGCGTCTGCCTTCGGCTCAGGTCAAGATACCCGGGGTCCTGGGATCGAGTCCCACATCGGGCTCCTTGCTGGGCGGGGAGCCTGCTTCTCCCTCTCCCACTCCCCCTGCCTGTGTTCCCTCTCTCGCTGTGTCTCTCTCTGTCAAATAAATAAATAAAATCTTTAAAAAATAAATAAAATAAAATTCATAATCTTTACATTTATCTTTTAAATCATTCCAGGGCTGCCTGGGTGGTTCATTCTGTTAAGTGTCTGCCTTCTGCTCAGGTCATGATCTCGGGGTCCTGGGATGGAGCCCTGAATTGGGCTCCCTGCTCAGCAGGGGGTCTGCTTCTCCCTCTGCCCCTCCCCCTGCTTATGCTTTCTCTCTCCCTCTCTCTCTCAAATAAATAAATCTTTAAGAAATATAATTTTAAATCATTCCAATATAAACATCTAGTATTGTTCCAGAAGGCATCAGAGTCCACTGGTAAGGAGCCTAACCTCTGGAATCATAGACCAGTTTCTCCACTCTCAGTTTATGCAAATTTGGGAAAGTTAAACAAGCTAAGGCTCACATTCATACTCTGTAAAAAGGAGGTAATAGTACTATTTCCCTTGTAAGTTTATTGTGAATATTAAAAGGGATAACAAACGTAAGCCGTCTGGCCGGAGCTAACAGTGTACAAGAAATACATATAAAAACGAAGTAGGGGTGCCTGGGTGGCTCAGTCTGTTGAGCATCCTACTCTCAATTTCAGCTCAGGTCATGGGATTGAACCCAGCTCAGTTCTTGAGAACAAAGATTCTCTTTCTCCCTCCCTCTGCCCCTCCCCCCCCAGCTCATGCACTCTCTCTCAAAACACACACACACACACACACACACACTAATGTAAATAGTGTACAAAAGTACATACGATCTCCTCAAACTTAAGCACAGTGAGTTCAGGTTTCATACAGTTTCCCAAGGAAACGTTATAGACCAGAACAGATGATATATTCAAACTGCTGAAAGACAAAAACTGAAGGTTTGCTGCATTTGTTACTCCCAAAGGACTTCTCGAATTATTATGCTGAATTATAATTTTCAAAGATGCTGGATTCAGTACCACAGTGTTTCAATACTATATATTTCTGAATCTGTGCCATAAGCAATATTTTTCTATACACATATATTCATACATGGGACAACAGTTTTGGAATCCGCTATTGTGGCCAGTGACTACAAATTGAAAAGGTATCTGCCACCTGTTTATTTTTTTAAGACTTTAGGATTGCTTATGAAATGTGAGAATTTTCATTTGTTTACACTTAGAAAAACTTGCTTGAATATATCCTATCCCAACACCATTTTACTGGTAAAAATGTGATGACTTCTAAGTTCTCTGTCTCTTTAGACTTTCTGTCTCTTGACTGTACCTGCCAACATTTTACTGAAAAAGTATTCATCGAAACCTCAAAAAAAAGAATTTTTAATTTCCTCTATATTAATTTGTTATTATTTATCATGGTTTCTTTTTCTTTTTAACCTGAGTTCCATTTAATTGATTTATTTCCTTTTATCTATGCAGTTAATTCTCTAGCAAGGTGGAAGCTCCTATATATTTAATTCTTTGGAAGTTTTATTTTATTTTTCTTTTTTCTAAAGTTTACAAGATTACCTCTGTGTCAGGGTCTCCAAAACCATCCCCAGTTTTGATGATTTACTAGGAGGACTCAGCATATAGTCATAGCATAGCATAGGCATATCACACTATGATTTAATATAGCAAAAGGATACAGAGCAAAGGAAAGGTGCATGGGGCAGAGTCCAAAGGAAACTAGGTGCAAGCTTCCAAGGGTTGTCTCCCAGTGGAGGCACACATCAGAGTGGCGGGAACTTTCCCCAAATCAAAATCCCAGATGCCAGCCTTGCAAAGCAGGCCTTTCTTAGTATAGCAGTCTCAAGCCTGCTATTTTTAAAATCTATTCTGGGCATCTGTGAATTGTCAAGATGGGGAGTCCTATGTTTTTCTATCATCGAGTTAACTTGTATCTGTCATAGGCAGAATTCTAAAGATGCTTTCTGTAATTGATTCAATCAAACATTAATCGAGGTACTGCTGTGAGGGATTTACAGATATAATTAAGATGAAGGACTTTAAAATAGGGGGATTAACCTGAATTTTCTGAGTGACCCAATCCAACTACATAAATCCCTAAAGCAGAGAACTTTTTCTGGCTGGAAGCAAAAGAGATATCACCTCAGAAGGGGATGTCAGTAAGATCTGAGGACTGTGAGGAATTCAACCCACCATCATTGTCTTTGGAAAGGGTCCATGAGGGAAGGAATATGGAAGGTCTCTAGTGACTGACCTCCAGCCAGCAGCCAGCAAAGGAGACAGACTTTAGTCCCACAACTACATGAAATCAAATGCTACCAACATCCTAGATTAGCCCGCAGACAGGGCCTCTCCAAGAGCCTCCAGAAGAAACAGCCCCACTGACAACTTGATTTGAACTTGGTGAGACTCCAAGCAGAGAACCCAGGTGAACCATGTGGGGCCTACACTCCAACCATAAAAAGTGTGGGATAATAAATGGGTGTTATCTTCAGGTGCTAAGTTTGTGGTAATTAGTTACAACTGCAGCAAAAAACTAATACACAATCTGTATTCTCTTACAGGGAATTTACTACATTTTTTCAATGTTTTATGATAATTTGGGATTTTATTTCTAGATTTTATATTCCAATATGAAATTTTGGCCAAAGAATAAATTTTGCTGATATATTGACCTTCTAACACTTATTTGCATTTATCCTTTTTGAGCACATATTTTAATAATTCTTTAGAGGGGATCTATATGTTATTTATTGTAATCCTTATTTTGTTTTGTTGTTGATCATTCTCACATGTGTAGAGGATGTCTAAGGTTAAAAGTGTTTAAGATTGTATATTTTTCTTAATCTCCTTTTTGCCCTTCATAGATGAATTCTAGTTAGCCTGAATATAAGAAGGAAATGATTAAAGTAAAATTTTATCAGAATTTTAATACTATTATTCCATACAGCTCTAGCACCCAAGTTTGCAGATAATTCTTATACAACTTAATAACTTTTGTAATGTGTGTTTGCTGCAAATTTGAGAATATTCGGTTTGTCTATAAATGCAAGAAAACCAGAAAGTGGTCAAAATTCATAAGACACGAATTGTGTCTATGATGTTTGTGAAACATAGTGGGAATTAATAGGATGAGTTAACTAACCAGAGGTTGTATGGTATGGTACGTGCTGGAAGGCTGGTTTGTATAAGCACATCCTGAATGCCCCTGTTAATCACTATCTTGAGAATGTAGAGATCGCATCTTCCCTCTGTATTCCATGAAGCAGAATGTGCAGAAAAACATGTTCAGCGTTCAAGGTCAGGGACTCCCAGGGTGGCCAACCCAGAGTGTCTCCCTTGTAAGGAAGTGTCCAGATGGCAGGACTTGACCTCCTTGGAATACAGGCCATGCAGGGAGGGGAAAGCCTACAAAGAGTTGCTAGGCTAAGTTGCTGCCTAGATCCCAACAGCAGATGCTTTATCCAATCCACTGCTCCTGGAACCCTGTATGTAAGTTCTCCCAATAAACCTTTGTCTTCTTGGTCTCTGTCTCCAGATCTTTTCTTCACCCTCACCGGGCCATCACCCACCTTTGACTTAAAGTCTGCCTGGGAAGCAGCACAGAGGCATGACAAGGATGGATAGAATAAACAGAAAATGCAGTGGAATAAAGAA